AAGAATGTACTAAAAAGATCTTAGTACTATGAATTCGTCTCCTGTTCCTCTGAGATATATCTCCCGCAAGGCAGGAATGTACTCCTCAGCAATCATGCTGCATGTGGTTTAAATGAGATGAYCAAAGGGTAAGTAAGTCCATGAATCAAACACATATTGCCATAGAGAAGTTTTCTAGTTTTACAATACTTAAGGAGAGGGGGTGGGGACAATGTGAACAAACCAGAAAGACAAGTTATGTTAACCGCACAGCAAGGTCCAAAATTATTCAAGTCCATATGCTCAGGATGGAGGCAGGCCTCCTTGCAAAGAAATATCTAATTAAAGTTTGAGATGAAACTGAGTGACACTATGCAAAAGCTGGCCTGACCACCACACACGGATCCTCTGTGACACACAGGGCACTCCCAAGAAAGATGTTGGTGCTGGTGTGGACAAGTCAGGCAAGGAAAGGCCCGAGGGCTTCATGATTTAGGATTCAGCAATAGTCTTTTCCAGCATGTTTTCACAGACACCATGAAAGTGTGTTCTTTAAGAAAATTAAAAATTTGTTTTAAACCAATAGATAGTAAAGATGTCAATTTACTCCACAAGTTGACAGATGGGATGAAAGTCTCTCTCCAAGATCCCACAACTCTGACTCTCACCACCCATGCCAGTCTCCCAACTTAGCCAACGGCAGGAAGAAGGAAGATCCAGAACCTCACCCTGCTCCTTGGGTTTATTTCTCAGACGTTTGGAACCCAGACAAAGTGCTTTGTGCTGGGGTAGCCCAACAAACAAATCAGAACCCAGACCCAGAGCTGGGGACATAGCTCAGGGRTGGGACAGACCCTGGGTTCCAACCACAGCACGGGAAAAAGAAAAACAAAGCAAAAGAAAAACATGATAATAATAAAATACAGGGGTGGGGATATGGCTCAAGTGGTAGCACGCTCGCCTGGCACGCATGAGGTACTGGGTTCAATCCTCAGCACCACATTAAAAAAATAAAAAATAAAGATGTTGTGTCCACCCAAAATGAAAAAATAAATATTATAATAATAATATACATAACCAAAATTTGAAAGAAAAAAATATATAAAAATAATTGAGAGGAAAAAAAGATCCAAGATTCAAATACCACAAAGGAAAAAAAATCCTTCAAATAGAGATCATTTTTCAGGTTTTTAAATACCATGCTTTCTAAAAACAAATGCTTGAAGTTTTCCATAGGTAGCTCTGTCAGTCCTTCATGAGTCCTCTCCTATAATTATCCTTATAAAGTGCTTTTCCCAGGTTGAAGGGACAAATGTTATGTATTTCTATAGTTATTTTATGGCTGCATTAATAAATCAGTTCCGTTCTCTGTCTTTGGAAATTATTTAGTGTATGTTTCAGGGTCTACTTTTCCCCCCTCAATCATTACTTCCTTGCCTTAGCACTGATTTTGAATGATCCTTCCAGTGCCCCACTAACTCTTGATGCAACCTTTTTCATATACTGATGAAACCAAAAAGAAAACCCACATAAAATCTCCACCTTCACGCACTTTTAGTTTCTTGCTTTTAGTAGACCTTGAACATCATGAGTTTTGCCAGGCTCGGTATGCCTGTATTCCCAGCAATGGGGGAGGCTCAGACAGGAGAATCACAAGTTCAAAACCAGCCTAGGCAAATTAAGGAGCCCTTGCCTCAAAATAAAATATAAACACGGCTGGAGATGTAGTCAGTGGTACTGTGCCCCTGGGCTAAGTCCTCGGTGTGGCACAAAAAAGGGGGGAATCATTTCGGAGGTCACACAGCTCGGCATATGTTATTAGTCTCCCACTTTGCAGTAGCGGGGACCTTTTAAGAGCAACCTATAATGAAAACAGTGGCTGAGGTTTCCCTCCAGGGACTTAAAGGCTGCCTTTGTAAAAGCATTGGCTCTTCACTTGGGCCTCTGCAAGGGTCCATTGGGGATTTTTTCTTTCTTTTTTCTTCTTGCACTGGAGATTGATCCCAGGGGTGCTTTATCACAGAGCTATATACCTAGCCCTTCTTATTTTTTTTTTTTTATCATGAGACAACTTCTTGCTAAGTTGCTGAGGCCAGCCTGGAACTTGCCATGCTCCTGCTTCAGCACCTCAGCTTCTGGATTCACAAGGATTACAGGACTGTACCACCTCTCCTAATTTTATTTTGACAATGGGAAGTCCACACTGCACCCTCCACTCCTGCTAATKCCATTATCTGAACATACATCCCATGAAGAGACATAAAGGTTGATAATGCATGCTCAGATCACGGATTACTTCAACTCCAGCCATATATGCCCTTTTGCCGAACCACCCTCTTGTTTGTCTCATAAACTTCCCTAAGCCCTACTGCGGGAGTGGTAGGACTTAAGACTGGGTCAACCCTGCACCACACCCAAGTAAACAAGCTCATTCTCTTTTACCAAAGTTGCCCCAGCAATTGGCAATGAGAAAAACAGGGCTGATGTAACAGCAACGTCTTATTAATACTTGATGGTTCCTATACTGCATTTCCTGGAGCGTTTAGCCCCATTGAACTGTCAATGCCGTGTAGGGACCAAATCTGAAAGCATAAACAAACCAGCCTGAAAATCGTGATCCAGGGCCCTCTCTCAGGCACTGCCTTTTTAATCAGCAGGTGCTCTCATGTTCCAAGCTCCTGCACCACCAGACATCAATGAGTGGCCCTCCTACCCAATCTAACTCAGCCCACGTCCTTAACCCACGTCCTCCTGCACTGGCTCACCACACCTACAGAAGAAACCAGGAGAGGAGAGGCCACCCAACCACAGACCAAACCTACACTCGGGTGAAGGAGAACACACAAAGCCACTTCCTTAGTCAAGTGAAAAAGACAACCCAGAGGGTTACATTTCCTAGGCTTCATCTGTGTAACAAGTATCCAACAACAACCTGGAGAAAAGGGGAGCAGATGCCTGATTGACAGGGGATAGACTGGGTTTGAGAGCAAGAGCAGAGAATTTGGTTATACAACAGCAACAACAAATGCCCTTCTGCTCCTGGAAATGCTGTGTCTTCGGCAGGACCCCTATACAATCTGCACATGTGATGAAATCATACAGAAGTAACTGTACACCCAWGAGTAAGGTCACAAAACAGAAGAACTCCAAAAATGACTTGTACATCCTTGTGTGATATCATACTAGAGACTGAGGGAAACTGGGGGACCCGTAAGATCTCTCTTGTTTTTTTACCACTGCTTGTGATTTTATTTTACCTTAATTTTAAAAATCCATTGAAAAAAGCAAGGTTCTTCAACTTATTGTTAAATCAACTGCCAGGAAAGTCACTTTGAAATGGCAACACAATTAGAATCTGTGTAAAGCAGCTTTGTACAAAACTCTTTTGCAATGATGAAAATACCTTACAGTTGCACTGCTCAATACCATGGTCACAGACGTGTGAATCTTGAGCACTTCAAATGTGGTAATTGAAGTTGAAAAAAAAATTTTTTTTCTTTACATTTTTTTGTATCCAGGATTGAATTCAGGGGCACTTGATCACTGAGCCACATCCCCAGCCCTGTTTTTGAGACCCTATCTCACTGAGTTGCTTAGCATCTTGCTTTTTACCGAGGCTAGCATTAAACTCATGATCTTCCTGTCTCAGCCTGTTGCGCCGCTGGGATTACAGGCCTGGCGCACAGCTAAAAAATCAGAATTTTTTCTTTAATATTTATTTTTTTAGTTATAGGTGGACACAATATCTTTATTTTATTTTTATGTGGTGCTGAGGATCGAACCCAGTGCCTAATACATGGTGGGCAAGTGCTGTACCCCTGAGTCACAACTCCAGCCCCAAACAGAAATTTCACATTAATTGCAAAATTAAGTTTGCATTAATTATAACTTGCATTAATTGTACATCAATTTCAATTTAGATTTAAATAAACACTGTGGATACCTATGGGACAGGACAGAAATGAAACTTGATCTAGACCCCTCTTCCCTAGTTGTAAGTTCCAAGGAATGAAGAAAATTCATTCAAATCACGGAACCAACTTATAAACCTTCTCAGCAGGAGTCCATTCCTTCATCTTAAAATGGGGAAAGAAAAGTACATCCTGACATGTGATTTGTGTGTGTGTGCTTGTGTGTGTGTGTGTGTGTATGTGAGTGAGAAGGGCTGTGATGTGCCCAGGCACCTGTACACTGCAGCTCTCAGAGCCAGGTAGGATGGTATTTTTGCAAATACAAAGTGAAATAACAGCTGATTTAGTAAATACTTCTCCATTCTCTAAAAGGACAGGCGAGTAGCTTTGCTTTTATATACTTAGGGTGAAATGAACAGAAATTTGATGCCCTGGACTGTTCTTTCAGTTCATTCCACAACTCTAGTTTGAAAGACTTCAATTGCATAGATAAAGGACAGGGAAGTTCATACACAAGCCACATGTCTTTCAAGCACAATTGTGCATAACTGGATACTTGGGGGTACAGAAAGCAAACCTTAGAAGACCAGCCCTGGGAGTCAGTCCAGATGTAGTCACATGACCAATCCCAATGGTTCTTCCCTACCAGGTAGACACCTGCCAGCACCCACCAGCTCCCACTGGCCTGTGTGGCAAGGTAAGGGCCTTTCTTCTTGAATCCTTTCCTTTCCCAGGGCTCTGCACAMAGTCTACTTGGCAAACCGCTCCAAAAATCCTTCAGCAGAAAGTCCAAGCCCTCAGCGTGGTTCCCAAGGATGCCAGTGATCTGCCCCAGCCAACCTCCAGGTTCACTCTGACTCCCCCAAAACATTCCTCATGTTCCTCTACAAAAAGCTACTCGATTTCACTGTTTATTCCTCCAATCGCGAAAGGAAACAACAGTTGAACAATTCATTAAGTACACACCAATAAAACCAGGAAGCGAGTTTTCCAAAGATTACATTGCGAAGCACAACTTTAATCTCCACCTCCCGGTCTTTGACCCCCTAAGGCGACTCCAGGGGACTCCAGGCGGGCTACGCCTTGCGTGGGGCGGGGCTGCGCCTGCGCCTGCGTGGTGGGCGGGCGGTCCCGGGCCAGCAAACTGCGGGTGCTCCACTATTGCGCTCCAGCGGTGCAGAGGTTCTAAGGTCCGCTCTCCGCGCAGGTGTTCCGCGCAGCCCACCAGCCATGTCGTCCTGTCGCCGCGTGGCGCTGGTCACTGGAGGCAACAAGGGCATTGGCTTTGCCATCGTGCGCGACCTCTGTCGCCAGTTCTCTGGGGACGTGGTGCTCACCGCGCGCAGCGAGGCGCGGGGCCAGGCAGCGGTGCAGCAGCTGCAGGCAGAGGGCCTGAGCCCGCTCTTCCACCAGCTGGACATCGACGACCAGCAGAGCATCCGCGCACTGCGCGACTTCCTGCGCAAGGAGTACGGGGGACTAGATGTGCTGGTCAACAACGCGGGCATCGCCTTTAAGAGTAAGCGGTCGGTCGGGGTGCAAAGCTTGTACCCCTGGGGGACCACCTTCTGCAAGCGGCTCAGGGGCGGGTGCCCTCTGCTTTGTGGGATCCAGAAAGTCTCCCTAG